ATTTTCGAGATTTAGTATTGAAGCACTTAAAAAAAACTTGAAAAACGTCAAAAAGAAATTGAAAAACTTAAAAGAAAAAAACTTGAAGCTTTTGGTAAACAGTTTGAAAATCTTGTAGAAATCTTAAAAAGAAGAACATAGAATCTATATTATATTATAAAGCATTTGACAAAAATTCTTAAAAACTATTTTTTATGTATGAAGTACTGTATATTGATGTATATTACTTAAAATTCAAGATTACAAGTAAATTATGCATAAGTACAATTTATTAAAGCTCCATGTTTGAATTCGTGTAACTAACTGCAGATAAATATAATCAAATTCTGGATAATTATCTCATTTAAAATATAAAAAATCTAAAATATATTTAGGATAATTATTGAATTCAAAATACTAAATATTATCTTTATAAAAGAATTATATTATTAAACTAAAAATAAATGACTTCATTATTTAATCTAAATTAAATTATAATAAAAAATAAAATTAAATTAATTACACAAAAAACAAGAACTTTTAGATATTTATTTTGATACAAAAATCGATATATGTTTTTTCAAAATTTTATGATATCTTCAAATTTATATTTTATTAAAAAAAAAACAATATCGTTTTATCGGTACCACATAAAATCCTATTATAACATTGATGAAGACATAATAAAATGAAACATTAAAATCGAGATATATCTCGCTGCCGCAAGTACCTTTCTAGTATTAGTAACAAGAGGAACATGGGGACTATCATTACTTCAATTAGTCCCCATGTTTCTCAAATGGATCTCTTCCTGAATTTCAAATACTTTGTACAGTACCCAATAAATTATGGGGACTGGTAGAAAAATATTTTTTTATTTCTTTATAAATCAGACTTTCTAGAGACCCCTCAACGACCAATCCTCGCATGAATTACTAAGATTTTTTATAGCAAATCTAATTTGAGAACTGTGTGTGAGTATTGCAGTTCTCTTTATTTGGTAATAAATATATTTTCGAATTTTGTCCATTCCATTGTAATTGCAAGGGAAAATCTTATATATATTTTACATCCCAAGGGACTATAATTGCAGAGTGCATAACATAGAAATAGGGGATGGTCTGGCCTACCTGCACCTGGACAGAAAGATCTTATGAAGCTTCATTGTTTCCTGTGATTGGCCATGGCCCATTTCCAGACTCTTATTTATTTTATTGAATACTAGAAGGGTACTCGTGCAATGCATCGAGACACATTTTCATTTTAATGTTTCGTTTTATTTTTTTTATCCATGTTGATATAAATATGATTTTATGTGGTTTTGAGAAAACGATAATGTTTTTATTTTTGAATAAAATATAAATTTGAAAATATCATATAAAATTTGCAAAAAATATATCAATATCAGTATCAAATTAACTATTTAAAAGTACTTGTTTGTATATTTTTTTTAATTCAAATTTTTTATTATAATTTAATTTAACTTAACTTAGGTTTAATAATATTTTTAATAATAAAGATAATAATTAAGTATTATGTTAAAACTCAATAATTATCCTAATTATATTTTAAATTTTTTATATTTTAAAATGAGATGTTTATCCTCTATTTGATTATGTTTATCCRCAGTTAGTTACACGAATTCAAACATAGAGCTTTAATAAGTTGTACTTATGCACAATTTACTTGTAATCATGAATTTTTAAGTAATATGCATCAATAAACAGTACTTTATACATAAAAAATGGGTTTTAAGAGTTTTTATCAAATGTTTTATAATATAGTATAGATTGATATATAATTTATAAAACTTATTTTTTTTAAAATAATTGGGCTTATGTATAACCGGTCCCGGGCTAGGCCATTTTATTTCGAGGAAGCGTTTCAGTCGAAACCATGAACTTACTAGAAAGGTGTAAGAGCATCTCCAATCAACTGGCAATTTTAGGGATTTGCCGTTTGTGACCTCTCCAATCGACCGGCAAATGAATTTAGGTTTTGCCGGATCCCTTATTTGAATGGCAAATATGCCGTGGGTTTCTTGAACGACAAAACCAATGGGACCCATTAATTTGTATTAAAAACCATTTTTCATTTAATAATTTAGGGGTTGATTGAGTTATTTTAATATGGGGTATACAAATTTAGTGTTTTTTTTAGAGTATGATTGGAGTTGAGTTTTTTTTAGTGTTTATGGACCACCATATTTGGTGTTTTTGTTTTTTTTAGTGATAAGGGTTGGGCCATTTTATTTCGAGAAAGCGTTCAATATTAAATTAAAAAGATTATAAAATTCATATTATTTTAATATAATTTATCTAATTTAATTTATTATTATAATTTAGATATTTACATTTAAAAAATTAATAATTAATTTTAGTTTGATAAAGTAATTTTTATAAAAATAATGATAGAAAATTATGTTGTATAAAAAAAACTCAGTAATTTTATTATATTTAAATTGTTTATCAGTTGAATATTAATTGTTTTTATAAAATCCAAATAATACTAAACGTGACATGTAACTTGAAATTTAAGTAATTAGGTTTATATATAGTAGTATTTTATAATAACTAGAAGGGTACTCGCGCAATGCATCGAGATATATCTTGATTTTAATATTTATCTCAGTCGATATTATAATATAGTTTTATGTGATTTTGAAAAAGCGATAATGTTTTTATTTTTGAATAAAATATAAATTTAAAAATATTATAAAAATGACAAAAATATATTGATATTAGTATCAAATTAACTATTTAAAATTCATATTTTTTGTTTAATTTTTTTAATTCAATTTTTTTATTATAATTTAATTTAGGTTCAATAATGAAGTAATTTATATTTGGCTTAATAATATAATTTTCTTATAAAGATAATAATTAATTATTTTGTTAGAACTCGATAATTATTCTAATTATATTTTAGATTTTTAATATTTTAAAATGAGTTGTTTATCCTCTATTTGATTATGTTTATCCTCAGTTTAGTACACAAATTCAAACACGGAGCTTTAATAAATTGTACTTATGCATAATTTACTTGTAATTTTGAATTTTAAGTAATATGCATCAATATATAATATTTCATACATAAAAAATGGTTTTTAAGAGTTTTTGTCAAATGCTTTATAATATAGTATAAATATTTATATTATATTTTTTATATATCATTATTAAATTATAAATTACGTGAAAGAATATATTCTCAATATAACCGTTGCTTAAAATAAAAGGAAGTCGTTGGATTTTAAGTCAACGATATTTTCATTATATTTTAAATAATATAATACAAATTAAAGTATCAATATTATATATTTTTTATTTTGAAAGTATCACAAAAAATTATTTATGATGTCGTAAAAACGTCATATACATTTATTGTAATATGAAATAGCGGTCAAACTACTTAAATTAGATATAATATCTGATTTTTGTTTCTCAAATCAGATAAAGTTAATTTTTGCATGTTCACAATTATCATAGTTTTATTTTATAAACTATAACCATGAAATTTGGTTCTAAAAAGTTAAAAAAAAAAAACAGTTTAAATATTGTATCTTTTTTATTAAAAACACTCCTTAATCAATAGGAAAAAAAATGAAAAAAAAATTGGATCGATCTCGGGGGGCGATTGGGTGACGTGGATCTCCCCCGAGGGTAGATCCACACAAAACGAGTCGCATAGTGTTTTATACCCCAAAGGGATGCATGTGGAACCCATCAAAATGATTTTTTAATATATTTTTGGTACTTTTTCGGTCAAACAAGGGGGGATCGCCCCCGGGGGCGATCCGTGTGAACATTTTCACAATTTTGGTAAAATCTGGTTATTTCGTTAATATATCGGGTATATTTTAGTGTTTTTCCTTAAAATATATATACACTTACACATATGAAATATATTTGTCTCTTATATATTAGGGATTGGATTCACCTGAGAACTACAACCTGTTTTTGTGAGATTCATGATTTTGTGAGAACATTTTTTTTACACTTAAAACTTCACAAGTTACATCTCATGCTAAAAATGATAAAACATGGATCGTCTATTTCATTGAATTGATACAAATAAAGAGAAATACAATCGTATACAACTCAAACGAGGTATTTTTAGAAATAAAATCGAGTGTTCGATATATGTCTCATCAAAATCTAATAATTTGGTAGGCATAGTTTAAAAAGAAAACGATAAAACATGTATGGTCTCTTTCATTGAACTGATACAAACCCGAAAATAAAAATACAATCATACGTAACTCAAAAATCCACGTCATTTTTTTCTCCATTAAGCCAAAATGCCCAACTTTACCAGTTTATAATTTTAACCCTGTTTTATTTAACTCCGGTTTGATACCACATAAGTTAATAAGCACTTTTACAAAAAAAACATAAGTTGTTTTAACTAAGCAATCCCAAACACCCCTTAAACCCATCAGTCTCCTGTCTTTCAAATAGACAAATTTATTCAAACAAATAACTTAATTCATACAAGACTTGGAGCCTGTTTGTTACCAACGAGCTTTATAAGACTTGCAACTTATTCGATAAGCACTAAGCTATACATGATTATTTGTAGTGCCTTACTGATATAGAAAGTGACTTATTCGGTAAGCACTAAGCTAAACATCATTGTTTGGTAAGCTTCTAGAAGAAACTTTATACAAAAAACCAATTTTTTTCTCTTTCAAATATGTCTCTCCCAATCAAAAAACACGTCCCTTCCGTTTATGAAAAACCCTACCAAACAAAAACATTCTTAATCTATACAAACAATCGTATTAATTTCTAGAGACATCTTTATCAATACAAGACTTAATAGAAAATCATCCCTCAAATAAACCTTCCCAAAAATGGCTTTTTCTTGTTTATCCTTTTTTTTCTTTCTTTGGGATCTCCACACAAATTACTTTTGTTTCTTTCGAAGGCGTCAGAAAACCATCAACAATGGTGTCGCAATCAACCGGCAGAGATTATATCCCCCAAAACAATTCATCTTCAATCACACGCACCAGAAACCAATTCATCTCAGAGAAGAAGATATGGCAGAGATTCATAGCAATGGAAGCTCCAAATCTTCTGCCAAAATCCCCAAAATCAAGTTCACCAAGCTGTTCATCAATGGAGAATTTGTCGATTCAGTTTCAGGTGCGATTCCCGTAGTAGGTTAATTTCGAGGTTTTTGATTACTCGTAAGGTTTTTCTGTTTTTGATTTTGTAAAGGAAAATGATGAAACAGGAAGAACGTTTGAGACGATTGATCCACGAACAGAAGAAGTGATTGCAAACATTGCAGAAGGAGATAAAGAAGATGTTGATTTAGCTGTTAAGGCTGCTCGTTTTGCCTTCGATCATGGMCCTTGGCCTCGCATGTCTGGCTCTGTATGTATTCCGATACCCTTTCGTAGTCTCACCCAATTAGACTGTCTGGCTGAAAAACAGTCTTATAGCTGATAAACGGTTAGCCGTTAGACTAGTCGTTAGCATATAAACATACAAACAAGCTAGACGAGCAGTAACAGCTGTTTGGTAACTGCTGAATGGTTAAGTGGTCAGAATGTTTAAGAGTCAAAGTGTAGAATGAATCATACAGTGCCGAATGAAATATGGTAGTTTGGTAATTGTTCTGAATGGATAGTTCGGATGATAACAAATTACCATTTTAACCCTGTATGATTTAAAATGATACAAGGGTTGGATTCCGGTGAAAACGAAAGTTACATGAGAAGGGTGGTGACTGATTGGTTTGAGCTTGGCTCCAAAGGTCAAAAGTGCCTGGAGGTCACAGGTTCAAATCCAAGAAGGAACAAAAATCCCCTTGTGGCCACGGAGGTTCAAATGCGGTAACTCCGGGCTACCTGCAAAGCCAGTGGTCGCCTGGGATTGGTCGGTTCGCATCGGGTTGGATATCCAGGTTAATAAAAAAAAAAGAAAATCTCTACTCTTGGATCAATCCTAATTGAAAAAATTAGATCAACACTAATGAGATACGCCAGATCAATTATCTTCTAAAGCACAACTCATGGGTTGGTTTGATTTACAAGTGATCAAGGGTCCAAATCCCTTCTTATACTTCTCACTTTAACTCCTATTTTCTCACATGATCTTTCGTTATGATGGGTTGAGTTCCGGTGAGAATGAAAGTTATGGTGTGAAGTGATCTCCACCTTTAGATCAATCTTAATTGAAAATCAACAATAGTGAGATGCACCAAAATGCAGTGGATCAATTCTCGTGAGAAGCGCAATTCACGGGATGGGGGTGAGATTAAAAGTGATGAAGTGTCCAGATCCCTTCTTACGTTTCTCATCTTAAATCCTATCCTCACACGATCCTTCGTCTTTGCTGTAATATCTAAACGATTTGTTTGTATGTTAACAGGAAAGGGGAAGGATAATGATGAAATTTGTGGATTTAGTCCAAGAAAACCTGGAAGAATTAGTAGCGTTGGACGCGATCGACGCAGGCAAGGTGTTCGAGCAGGCGAAGGCCGGGGAAATGCCTTTTGCAGCCAGCATTCTTCGGTCTATATTCATAATATCGAACTCTTAATGATTATGTAAATCGATGTTTTACTTCATGAAATGTTAAACTTACTATATATATTTATCAGATACTATGCTGGTGCGGCCGATAAAATCCATGGGAAGACGATGAAAATGGCGAACCAATTGCAAGGCTACACGTTACATGAACCTATCGGTGTCGTTGGTCATATTATCCCGTGGAACTTCCCTGCCGGGATGTTCTTTTTCAAAACCAGCCCGGCTATGGCTGCAGGGTGCACCATGGTGGTCAAACCGGCTGAGCAGACTCCCCTTTCGGCTCTTTATTGTGCCCATCTAGCTAAACTGGTACGTGCTAGATAGACTACAACAAAATGGGCTTTATAGGACGCCAAAAATCACTACCACCCACCGATTTGTAAGCGTCCTAATAGATTGCTTTATAAGACTTAATTTATGGGACCGGAAAATAAAGTGTCGTGCCTAAAGACGGGCGTTGTAATACGTTTATAGGATGCTTTTGGGCATCTTAACAAGTTTTTGAAGACATTTTTATACGACACTTGTCCTATAAACCCATCTTTTTAGAGGACATTTGTTTTTGTAAGACACTTTTTCAAATAATATCTTATAAAATAGCTAATACGATGTTTTTTTAATAAAAATGTTCTAAAAATCTTGTTACGACAACCCAAAAAACGTCCTATAAACTTATTACAACGTCTTCCGATAAGACGTTTATTTTTTTGGTCCTATAAATTAAGTCTTATAAAGTGGTTTATTAGGACACTTAGAAAATTTTAGCATCCTATAAACCCAATTTGTTGCAGTGAATGTCTAAATGTACCAAAACTGTGCGTTCTATATAAAAGTGTTACAATATAAATATATAACAAGTTTTTTAAGACACTTTTAAAAGACAATATTATGATTTTTTTATCGAACACTTTTTCAAACAATATCAAATAAAAAGATTAATAGAATATTTTCTTTCAAAACTATCGTAAAAAAACTTTAAGACGTCCGAAAGTGTCTTATCAACTTCTTGTAACACATTTATGTAAGATGATTTGTCCAGTAAACTAAAATCTTATACAAGTCTATTATGAAGTTTACATATTTTTCTATGTCCTATAAAAGCCGATTTTATTGATAGACGAGACGTTTAAGATATTCGTTGATGGGTTATTCATATGTGAATTTTAATCAGGCGGGTATCCCTGATGGGGTGATTAATGTCATAACGGGATTTGGAACCACAGCCGGAGCTGCCATCAGCTCCCATATGGATATCGATTGCTTGAGTTTCACTGGGTCGACTGAAGTCGGACGAGTTGTAATGCAAGCTGCCGCCACTAGTAATTTGAAAGCGGTCTCTCTCGAGCTCGGAGGCAAATCCCCGCTCATAATCTTCAATGATGCAGATGTTGATTCAACCGTCAATCTTACTCTTTTGGGCGGTTTTGCTAACAAGGTATACAAAACCTATTTATCGTTTTTCTGAGAATATGTAAAACCCCATTAGATTTATCTCCAAAAGAGTCTTTCAGTAGAGAATATAGGTTCCAACGTATATAAAACAGAAATGGTCCAAGTCTAGATGATGTGGGACTCTATCACGCTTTCTCCAATGGAGGATAGACGGGCACAAATTGTCCAAAAGTGTCAAGAGGAGGCTAGACGAGTACAGATTTCCCCAAAGTCTCTAAAAGTGGTAGACTTGCTCTGACACCATGTGAAATATGTTTTACGCTCCAAAAATCTTTTGAGAAGAGAATGGAGGTTCTAACATGTATAGAGGAAAAATGGTCAAGTCTAGTAGTTGTGAGACTCTAACGGCGTTAAAGTTACTTTTCTTTAATTGTTCGAAATGGGGACATAATTAGTGACGTTGACGTTTGTTGAACCAAAAAAAAATTCGTTTTTCAGGGAGAATTTTGCGTGTGTAGCTCGAGGATCTTCGTCCAAGAAGGGATATATGAAGAATTCATAACTAAGTTAGCGAGAAACGCAAAAGGGATAAACGTTGGCGATCCCTTTGATCCCTCAACTCATCAAGGACCTCAAGTAATCGAGACTTTGTATTCAAATACGAATTATTTTAAAAAAAAAATCTGTGTCGTTACGACGCTAATTAATAACGTAACTTATAGGTCGATAAGCAACAATACGAGAAAGTACTTTCGTATATCGAACATGGAAAGAGACAAGGTGCAACACTGCTAACCGGTGGAAAGCCGTGGGAGAAAAAAGGATATTATATCGAGCCAACGATCTTCACAAACGTTACAGTAAGTAAACTCAACTCACGACACCATATCCGCGTAGAATTACTCGTCTTAATAACATTTGTCGTCTCGGGTGGTTTCAGGACGATATGCTTATTGCAACAGATGAAATTTTCGGCCCTGTTATATGTGTTTTCAAGTTCAAGTAAGTTCGAACTCGATAATAAATAAAAGAGTAAATTATGGTTTTCGTCCCTGTAATTTAGAAATTACGATATTCGTCCCTATGGTTTGCAATTTATTTGATATTTTCGTCCTTGGACTATTCCTAGTATTTAAGTACAAGAGACCAAACAGTAAAGAATCATAAACCACAAGAACCAAAACAATAATAAATTGTAAATCGTAAGGTCGAAATAGCAATGAATTACAAACCATAGGGACGAAAACCGTAATTTCTAAACTATATGGACAAAAATCACAATTTTTAACACACAACCAAGACGAAAAACGTAATTTATTCTAAAGTCCGTAACCAATAGGTTAATTTTTTTATAATAACTTTTTAGGACGGTTGAGGAGGCGATCACGAGAGCGAATTCTACACGATATGGTTTAGCGGCAGGGATAGCGACCAAGGACTTGAACATAGCGAACACGGTTTCGAGATCACTTCATGCTGGTACCGTTTGGATCAACTGTTATTTGGCATTCGATGCAGACGTTCCTTACGGAGGGTATAAAGGGAGCGGATTCGGAAGAGAATTTGGAATGGAAGGGTTATACAAGTATCTCCAAGTTAAATCTGTTGTCACTCCGGTTCATAATTCTCCCTGGCTATAAAAGTGACGAGGCTCGATCTTGACATTTTGTAGACCTGGGACGTTTGAAAGAACGGACCTTCATCTGTGAACTCGATTCTTGACGATTAATTTCATCATTGTCATATCGTCATTATGTGTACTCTTTCATTCAAAAACTCCAGACTTTATGAGATCCGTGATAATTTCTACCGCAAGGTTTTATTTCACATGGTTTTTTTCATTTATCACTAGAATTTAATATAGTGATTAATTTATATTTGTTTCACGATGTGTTTATTACATATGTATTCAGTTTACAATGTGAAACTTTTTACGTGTATTTTTTGGTACATGGGACGGGACAGGACATGACGGGATAAAACTCACTGTCTCATGTTTGGCGCAGCATGGGACAAAACAAGAATTCACTGTCCCACGTTTGACGCGACATGGGACTGGGACAAGGTGGGACAACATTGGACAAAAGAGGTTTTTTCTTGTTCCACCAAAGTAGGTGGAACAAGATAGGACAAGAATGAGACATAAACTAAAATATTACTAATCTACCCTAGTTTAATATATAACGTTAATATGATATTTGTTTTAATGGTTATCACCGCTAGTTTTAGCCGCCGCCACCACCAGCGGCGGCCACCTCCACCTCCACCTCCTCTTCCACTACAACAACATCCTCCACCGCATTCACAACCACCGTCCACCAAGTCCATTGCCACCTCTACCATAGTCGACCACTAACCACCACCGTCCATTGCCACCACCACTACCGTCGTTCGGCAGCTTCAACTCCTCCTCTACTGCAACAACCTCCTCTACACTGAGGGTCGTTCGTGTGGTCGATCGGAGATGTAACACAGTGACATCAAAATGCATCTTATATATGTTTGAGTATTACACTGAGCGTCGTTTGTGTGTCTTTTGTTTAACAAAGCCAATATTTTTATATATCACAATGGTATCACCGGAAAACGGAGGACGGGGAGGGTCGATGTGATTTGGGTTCAAAACCCTTCAAACGTTTCAAGAATAAGATAAACTTTTCATAGTAAAATAAATACAAAGCTTTACATGAATCTTACTTTTTGACTCTTAACAACAACAACAAAACTTTTTGGAGTTATATTGATTTTTTTAATAATAAATAATTTAATTAATATGATTTTTTTAATTATTTTTTAAGAAATTTAAAAGGTGTTGGGGATTGTTTATTTAAAACGACCTATGTTTTTTTATAAAAGCATTTATCAACTTATTATAAGTCAGAAGAGTTTAACTTATTCAAAAACTTATTATTATCGGTTTGACACTGGTATAAGTTGTTTATCCAAACACTTAAAAATACTTATTACCGATATCACACCGAAATAAGTAAATAAATTATTTTTATAAACATCCCAAACAACCTTGAAATAAACCGTTAATGATGCTCAAACCAAACCTGTCCAATGGCGCCTTTCTTCTTCTTCGAGATCTCCATAAAAAATTAATTTTGTTTATTTTAATGGTGTGACGACAAAACCATCAACAATGGAATCACGAAGAAATTGCAGATGGAATCTATGAAATCCCTTCTTATTCATCACCAATCACGTCTATTTGAAACTAATTCATCACATAGAAGAAGACATGGCACAAATTCATAACAATGGCAACTCCAAATCTTCAGTCAAAATCCCCAAAATCAAGTTCACCAAGCTCTTCATCAATGGAGAATTTGTCGATTCCGTTTCAGGTGTGATTCCTGTAGTTACTTAATTTCGAGTTTTTTTTTTTATTACTTTTAGGGTTTTCTTTTTTAATTTTATAAAGGAAACGATAAAACAGGAAGAACGTTCGAGACGATTGATCCACGAACAGAAGAAGTGATTGCGAATGTTGCAGAAGGAGATAAAGAAGATGTCGATTTAGCTGTTAAATCTGCTCGTTTTGCCTTCGATCATGGTCCTTGGCCTCGCTTCTCTGGATCCGTACGCATTTCGTTTCAAAACCTAACAATTTTGTTGGTGTTTATGATTCATTTTTGCTATAATATTTATAAAATCTGTATGTATGTTAATAGGAGAGGGGAAGGATAATGATGAAATTTGTGGATTTAGTCCTTGAAAACCTAGAAGAATTAGCAGCATTGGACGCCATTGATGCTGGCAAGGTGTTCGAGCAAGGGAAGGCCAGGGATATTCCTTTTGCAGCCAGCATTCTTCGGTCTGTGTTCATAATTTCGTTCTCCTAATCATTTACAACAAAATTGCGATTGTTTGATGCAAAAAATGTCTAACTTAACGATAAGGGTGGTGCGTGATTGGTTTGAACTTGACTCCAAAGGTTAAAAGTACCAGGAGGTCTCAAGTTCAAATCCAAGGAGGAAAAAAAATCCCCTTGTGGCCATGGAGGTTCAAATGCGGTTACTCGGGGATTTCTGCAAAGCGGGTGGTCGTCCTGAGATTAGTCAGCTCGTATAGCGGGTTGGATATCCATGTTAATAAAAAAAATGTCTAATTTTCTTATCTAAAAGTGTTGCAATAGGTTTATACGATACTTTTGGACGTCTTAACAAGTTTTTAATACATTTTTAAAATAAAAGGTAGTATTAGCTATATTTTTTGGATAAGTGGGTTTCCGGGCCATTTGCGCACTGACTAAGCCCTCAATGGATCACCTGAAGTCATTGCAGATGAGCCTCCATGGTGACAAACGCTTTGGCAGCTTTTGGATTCGAACTGGGATAGATGAGATTTTCTACTACATCCCCAGTGGCTTGACTAGTGCGCCTCAACTCAAGTGATTTAGTATTAGGTATTTTATAGGACATTATTTGAAAATGTGGCTTATAAAACCTAGTGTCTGATAAAAAGATGTGTTCATAAAAAGTGTCCTAAAAATAGCTAATACGACGCTTTATTTTAAAAAATGACCTAAAAACTTGTTAAGACGTCTTATTACAACACATTTAGATAACGTGTTTTGTTGTTTGATTCTATAAATTTAAACTCGCTATAGCGGTCTGTTAGGACACTTGGACATTGTTGGTGTGCTATAAATCCGATCTTATAGTAGTGAGTGATTATGTTAATCATTTACTTCATGGAATGTTAAACTTGCTAGATCTTTATCAGATATTATGCTGGTTCGGCGGATAAAATCCATGGAAAGACGATGAAAATGGCGAACCAACTGCAAGGGTACACATTGCACGAGCCCATCGGTGTCGTTGGCCATATTATCCCGTGGAACTTCCCGATCAGCATGTTCTTTTTCAAAGCTAGCCCGTCGATGGCTGCAGGGTGCACCATGGTGATCAAACCGGCTGAGCAGTCTCCCCTTTCGGCTCTTTTCTGTGCCCATCTAGCTAAACTGGTATGCGAATGTTTTGTTATAGTCATAGGCGGACCTAGAATTTTTTAACAAAATTATCGTTGGTCTGTGTGTTAGTTCTTTGTTTTTCATATATGAGGTCTCATATTCAAATCTTTTAATGTAAATTTTTACAAAAACATAATAAATCTGAAGTTAAAAGCTAAAAACTAAGAAAATGACACAAACAAAATTCGAACATGTGTCAGGGGTGGGAGAAAAACCATGTAAAGCAACTCTACCAAGGAAAACTTGTGTCATTATTGTAGTTGCAAAATATATACGGTTGCACAGCTTTCATGACCCCATAACTTTTTACAGTGTGACAGAGTAACAAAGTGGTGGCCTGTGCCACTGACCCACTATATAATAAAGAGTGGGTCCCCCCTGTTAAATATATGTTGAAACCGGTCTTCTTTCCTAAACGACTCATTTGGAGAGTAATCTGATGGATTCTACATGTGCATTCAATTAGGCAGGTGTCCCTGATGGGGTCATTAATGTGATAACCGGATTTGGAACAACTGCCGGAGCTGCCGTCAGCTCCCATATGGATATTGACTGCGTGAGCTTCACTGGGTCGGCTGAAGTAGGACGACTCGTAATGCAAGCTGCTGCAACGAGTAATTTGAAATCAGTCTCTCTCGAGCTCGGAGGAAAATCCCCTCTCATAATCTTCGACGACGTGGATGTTGATTCAATCGTCAATCTTGCTATTTTGGGCAGTTTTGCTAACAAGGTATATGAAACTATTTATCGTTTCAAAGTTTCTTGTTCTTATTATTCGATATGATGACAAAATGAGTTGTAATTTGATGTTCATGAAGCCAAAAAATTTCCGGTTTTCAGGGCGAATTTTGCGTGTGTAGCTCCAGGATCTTCGTCCAAGAAGGGATATACGAAGAATTCATAACTAAGTTTGTGAAAAGCGCAAAAGAGATAACCGTTGGTGATCCCTTTGAGCCTAAAACTCGTCAAGGACCTCAAGTAATCAAAACATATATCGTATACGAATTATTTTCAAAAAAATTCGTGTTGTTTCGGTATTAAGAACGTAATTTATAGGTTGATAAGCAACAACACGAGAAAATACTTTCATATATCGAACATGGAAAGAGACAAGGTGCAACGTTGCTAACCGGTGGAAAGCCATGCGGGGAAAAGGGATATTATATCGAGCCAACAATCTTCACAAACGTAACGGTAAGTAAACTCAAGTAACGATACGTTATTCACATAAAAATTACTCGTGTTAACAACATTTGTCGTCTCGGATGGTTTCAGGACGATATGCTTATCGCAACAGATGAAATTTTTGGCCCTGTTATATCGGTCTTCAAATTCAAGTAAGTTCGAACTCAAAGTTAATAAAAAATTTAAATTTTATAAAAAGACGCCATACCATTAAAAATCTTGATTATAATCGTCATTAGAGTTCTTAAGTATTTTTTTTTGATTAACCTGGATATCCAACCCGCTATGCGAGCCGACTAATCCCAGGGCGACCACCTGCTTTGCACGTGGCCCGGAGTCACTGCATTTGAACCTCCGTGGCCACAAGGGTATTTTTGACCTTTGGAGCCAAACTCAAACCAATCAGGCACCATCCTTGTGGTTTTTTAAGTATATTTATAAAACTTTGTAGGACGATTGAAGAGGTGATTGTGAGAGCAAATTCAACACGCTACGGTTTAGCGGCTGGGATTGCGACTAAGGACTTGAACATAGCAAACACGGTATCAAGATCGCTTCGAGCTGGTATCGTTTGGATCAACTGTTATTTAGCGTTCGATGCAGATGCACCTTATGGAGGTTATAAAGGAAGCGGATTTGGAAGAGAATTTGGAATGGAAGGGTTATACAAATATCTACAAGTTAAATCTGTTGTCACTCCGATTCATAATTCTCCTTGGCTATAAATGTGATCGGCTTCGATCCTCACATCTGTAGGCCTAACGCTTTTTAAAAAAAATCCCAAAAAAAAAAAATGTTTTTCATTATAAAAAAGAGTAAATTATGTTTTTCGTCCCTTTGGTTTGAAAATTTCAGTTTTCATCCCTGTAGTGTGTAATTTATTTATATTTTCGTCCTTGAGTTCAAAACACTATTTTTAAGTATGAAGAACTAAAATAAAAATGAAATGTAAACCATAAGAAGAAATAAATAAATAAATTTTACAATAATAAAGATAAAAAAGGTGATGAATCATAAAATATAAGGATGAAAATTAAAATTTTAAAACTATAGGGATGAAAATAGAAAGTTTTAACAGATCACAAGGACTAAAGACGTAATTTACTCTTGTAAAAAAAAATAAGATTTAATACATAAAATTACTTTTCTCTTTTGATTTATATATTCCATTTTTAATAACATTAGTAACAACACATATGTATATGATTATGTAGGCATGTTCATCGATTGACATCTATTGGATATGAGGGGAACCGAATCGACCCAATCATTCATTAGATGTTGGATTTTGTCAATCGATTCGATTCGATTAACATTGGATACCCGATCCAATCTAATCCAATGGATAATTGGATCGATCCGGTTCCATCAATTGGATACTTTAAGGGCTAGATCCGTCCCTGAAAGTGCATCCGCTTGCCAAAAATCTTAGGTCCACTATTGTGTGTGTGTATATATATATATATATATATATATATATATATATACTAGAAGCGTACTCGCGCAATACAGCGAGATGCATCATGATTTTAATATTTCATTTTCTTCTTTATCTCAGTCGATATTATAATATGGCTTTATGTGATTTTGAGAAAGTGATAATGT